CTCTCGAACTCACAGCAATCCTCCTGCATCAGCCTCCTGAGTGCTGGGATTCCAGGTGTGTGCCACCACCCCCAGCTTTTCTTAATTCTGTTTACTTCCTCTTCTCCCTCCTCCATCCCCTCCATCCCCTCTTCCTCCTCCTCTCCTCCATCCATCTTTTGATAGGAATGCCAATTTTAAGGCCAACCTGGGCTAAATAGGGAGAGGAGACCCTGTCTCAAAAAAATCTTCTAATTATTTCATTGTTTTTTCCCACTTATGTTTCATGTAGTCAACAAATCTTATCTTGTTGACTCCTATTATGTGCTAGGCACTGGAGATACAATGATAAGACACAAATGCTCTGTTGCTGAGAACAAAGCGCTGGGGGTGGGGTGATAATGGAAAAGTTTGGGAAAGACTGACCTGAGGAATAGCCCTGAGACCTCAGTGGTGAATTATCAGGAAAGGGCATCTGGGGGTAGGTGGTGAGATAGTGTCTTCCTATGTAGTTTAGGCTGGCCCGGAATTCACTATATGTCCAGGCTGGCCTTGAACTTCCAGAGGATTTTTCTGTCCCAGACTCCCAAGTGCTGGGATTACAAGTGTGCACCACCATGCCCAGTTTGGGCTACATAACAATCCTGTTTTTAGACACTTTGGAGTTACCTGGTTTTTCCACAGCCCTGAATAAAGCTTTAACGACCACCCCTGAGTGTAATGCTGTTCCATCTCTGCCTCCCTCTGCACCAGCTGCCTGCACCTTTGCCTCAGGCCTGAGCCTCAGTTGGCCTGTTTTCCCTAGACATCAGCCCCACTTCATAGCTCTTCAAATCTTCTGCTGTGTCCTCAAGCTGTCAATGCTACCCAGGCAGTGGGGGGCTAGCCACCCACCCATACCTTCTCCAAGTGATTCAGCTCTTCCCTCTAGGCTCTTTTGAGCTGTACTGGCATCATCACCTGCTTGGAGATTACCAGACTCCCCTGACCCCCATCAGAGACTCCCATCTCCTGTAACCTGCATTGGCTTCAGTCCCTTCATGCTGACTTGTGACTGTCAGTTCACTTCTCACCTTACCCCCATCAAACTGAATTTCCCTTGTGGCCCTAAACCCAGCAGGCTCTGGCATATACAAGGGATCCAGAAATACTTGATAAACAAATGAAGGACTGGATGGATGAAAGCAGAGAGGCAGAGAGGTAGGCTTCACTGGGTCAGAGGATCATTTTTTTTCCATGTCATAAATGTTTCATAAAAAGGTTTTTTAAAAAAGCCCCTACATACTACTTCATACCACATGGCCGTACACCTACTCAAGGTTTAAAATGAAATCCCATCGCTGGAGTGCTCTCACCTCTCTTATCCTCCGCACTTCCTACAGCCGGTGGGAGCCCTGTGTCCTCCCAGAAGCCACAGCTCCCTCTGTTGTATCTCTATTAATCCTGTCTGTCTTTTCAGTCCAGGCTTGAGACTGGGCCTGCCCTCTCTGCATCTCTTTTGCTAGCCTGTGCTGTGGAGCAAGGCTTGCAGTTCTCTGACACTCACATCTGTTTTTTAGATTTTCTTTTGTTTATTTTTGGAAAGAATAAAATATTTTACTTTCTATGCATCCTTCCAAAGAAGAATGCCGTCTTTTTTCACTCTTTTAAAATTGGTTATAGGGCCGGGGATTTAGCTCAGTGGTTCCACCGCCGCCTGCATCATAAGCACAAGGACCCGAGTTCGATCCCTGGTACCAAAAAAATAAAAAATTTAAAAAATTAAAAAATTGGTTATACAAATTAATGAGCTTTATTTTAGCAGATTCATACATGCACATAACATACTTTGATAATTTTCACCCCATCATCCCCCCTTGTTCTGCCTGCCCCACTAGTTTCACATTTTTTGAGGGGTCTCATTGTGTATATCTTACCAGCCTCTCTATTACGGTCATTATGCCCCTCCCGCTTCCTCTTGGCTCTCTTCTACTTTCTTGTCATCATTTTTTTTTTCTGTACCAGGGACAGAACTCAAGATTTTGAGCTTTCGAGGCAGGTGTGGTGCCATTGAGCTAAATCCCCAGCCCCCTTGTCATCATTTTTAAATTCCACATATTAGGACAGAACATTCACATCTGTGTTTTTGTTTTGTTTTTGTTTTTTTGTTTTTTTTTTGTTTTTTGAGGCAGGATGTCATGTAGTTGAGACTGACCTGGAACTCACTATGTAGCTCAGGCTGGTCTCAAACTCATAGGGATCCTCCTGCCTCAGCCCCCTGAGTGCTGGGACTACAGGCATGCGCCACCATGCCTGGCTCACATCTGTGTTTATAACCCAGATATTCAAAACTCAGACTTATCTACAGAAGAAGGTAACTCACCTTTCCTGAGTTCCTAGCAATCTGCGCAAACCATATGCTCTGCTTACTCTGGCATCCTCACTTCTCTACAGTGCAGTGGTGACCATGATCATCCCCATTTTACAGAGGCAGAGACTGAAGCTCAAAGTTAAGCCTGTGTTCATGTAGCTAATAAGGGAAATCTGCAATTTAACTCAAGGAGCCTCTCTAACCTAAGGACCACAGTCTTCATTATGAACCATATTAAGAGATGCTTGTTTAAAAATAAATCAGGAATGTGAGACATGCAAAGGAACATTAGGAAAGGGAGCAATGTTGCCATCTTAACCCAACCTGTCTCTCCTTGAAGCCTGTGCATTTTTCCATGAGTGGCCATCTGTCCCCATGGCCCACATATGCCAGTGGTCAGACCATTCTGCAAAATCGAAAGCCCTGCTCAGATGATTGCCGGAAGCGCACCAGGTAAGCCAGGGTCAGTCCAATGGTGGGCGGGCTGGTATAGACCCGGTATTGGGCCAACAGACAGGGCAGAGGGGTGTGCTGCTTCAACTAAGGGTAGAAAGCCACTTGGGGTGCTGGTGACATCTCAGCCCACCATCCCCTGCAGTAGCTGGCAGCAGCAGCCCATAGGCATTGCCAAGCCTCAGTACCTGGAGCACCTAGAAAACTACCTACGCAAGGAGCTCCTCCTGCTAGACCTGGGCACAGATTCTGCGCAAGAGCTGAGGCTTCAGGTTAGAGCCACAATGAAATCGTGGGAAGGGTGGGAAGGGTGGGAAGGGTGGGAAGTCCCTCCCCCATACCAAGGACCGAGCACCCACAACCTTCAACAGGGACTGACCTCTCTCCCAGTTCTTTTGGGTCTCCTTCCCTGAAGAAAAGCACATCCAATTAAAAAGCCAGTGATCAGGCAAGACTGCATCTTGGAACCAAAACTTTCTTGAGGCTGGGGTTTCCTCATTTGAGTTAGGTGGGCTGAATGCTGCCTCCAGTCCCTTCAGCTCTAGGACATTCAGGCTGTGTCACTAGACATCAGCAAATAGGCCCTGAATCTGGCAGCTGGGCAAGTAAGAGGCATACAGTCACCACCAGCCTGATGATAACTACCCCAAGCTTGAAAAAATAGCCCAGATACCAAGGAGGGCAAGATCGAGGGAAATTAGTCTAGATGCAACCCAGATTCTGATACATATTTCGGAAGAATTTGTATAGGAATGACAACAGAGAAACTGACCTCTGACTAAGTCATGACTGAAGGACATACAGAGCCTGGACCATGTGCCAGGCCCTGGGGCAATCTCACAAACAGAAGATACCACACTAACAAGGAAAGAGACACTTGGAGACATCCCACTTGGAAGTGATTGGGCTGGGATTCAAACTCAAGGCTGGTTTCATAGCCTGTGCCCATTCCAGTAAGGAATACTGCTTCCAAAAGCTTCTGGTATTTGCAAATCAAGGGCTCCTGCTTCATATCTGGGTTCCCACTCCCAGACACACAGACACACACACACAATCATACTTTGTCCATGTGGGACAGGAAACCACGCCTCCACTTTGAGGTTAGAACAAAGGACTAAAACTTTCAGTCTCCTAGGCCAGGGATTTAGCTCAGTGGCACCGCGCCTGCCTCACAAGTGCAAGGTCATGAGTTTGAACCCTGGTACAAAAAAAAAAAAAAAAAAAAAAAAAAGAAAAAAAAATCCACACACACACAACTTTCAGTCTCCTGCGCCCACAGGGCTCTGAGATGGGGAGGGGCTGCATGTGAGAAGCCAATGGACACAGGTATGGAAGGCAAGAGACTGGCCACCTGGAGAACCAGAGAGGCTCTGGCAGAGTGGTAGGTAGGTCTGTCCCACAGTAATTTGCTAGGCCTCAGGAAAGGCCTCCTGAGGACTGTCCCCCAGTTCTGTGATACTGTGACAGACCTAAATAGTGGCTAGGACATTCACTTGATAGGGGTTACCAGGCAGTCTCACATGGAAACTCTTCTGAGCTCACTGAAGAAAAATACAGGTCCCCATTGAGAATGGCAGCTATAGGCCAGGAAGTGAAAGTTTCCCTTCTTTTGCCAGCCTTACAGGGAGATCTTTGAGTTCTTCATAGAGGATTTCAAAACATACAAGCCACTGCTATCCTCCATCAAGAATGCATATGAGTTGATGCTGGGTAAGAACACAGCTTCCAGCCCCTCGGGTATAGCTGTGCATTCCAGTAATCCCAACACCCTGGGAAGCTAAGGCAGGAGGATCCAAATTCGAACCCAACATGGGCAACTTAGTGACTTAGAGATACCCTGTCTCATAATCAAAGATGAGAAACGGCTAGTTTAATACAAAGGCCCTGAGTTCAATCTCCAATACTGGAAAAAAAAAACAAAAAACAAAAACACAGTTCCATTTTTGGGTCTAGTGAGGAATTTGCAAAGAATCCTATTCTGCTTTTCTAGGGGTCTACAGAAAAGGCAGCTACTAACTGGGCTTTAAGGTCATCTTTTACATATACTGTAATAGGGCACCTCAGGGCCTTCTCATCCTTGAGAAGCATGGCAATACCTGTAGGAATCAGAAGGAACCCCAGGAGAGTGAGTACCTCTGGAGTGAGGAAGTTCCCCCACCAGGTTCAAGTAAACTACAGCTGCAAGACTAAAGGTGTAGGGGTAAGGCTATTATAGGAGAGACTTAGGAGACCCATAGTTGGACTCTGCCCCTGCTTTAAAAGCTAGTACAGGAAGGCTTGAGGCTGGGGCCGTGACTGGTCAAGGTGAGCATAGACTTCTGGTGTTTGCAAGTGATAGCCACTCACCTATGACTTAGGATGTGTCTCCTGGCTGTTTGTACTTCATGGCCCCAGGACTTTCCCACATGTCTCTGTTTAGCCCACCAAAAGGAGAAGATCCAGGCCCTGGAGCCCCTGAAGGGCAAGCTTATCACTATGAATGAGGACTGCAATGAGAGGATCCTGGCCATGAGGGCTGAGGAGAAGTATGAAATCTCCATGCTGAAGAAGGAGAAGATGAATCTGCTAAAACTTATCGACAAAAAGAATGAGGAGAAGATTTCATTGCAGAGTGAGGTGAATGGAAGTGATGTGCTCCATCTCTAGGAGTGACCTTGCGCCCTGAGGTGACCCCTAATCTCATCACCCACCCTTCTGCCTGGAAGACAGAGCCAGCCTTTCCCCCAAGACTCTCTAATACTTCTACCCTCCCCTCTGCTATGCTGAGGAGCTCAGCATGACCCCAAGTTCCAGCAAGCCTTCTCCAGTGTCTTTTTGGGTTCTCAGGAATGGCCACTTTCCTTTTTGGTTTTGTTTGCTTTTTTTTTTTCTTTGTGGTATGGGAATTGAGCCCAGGGCCTTCCCACTAGACTACATCTGCAGCTTTTTATTTTGAGACAAGGTGTTGCTAAACCAGAGTTGCCCAGGCTGGGCTCAAACTCCCTATCCTGCTTCAGCCTGCCAGAGTGCTGGGATTAAAGGCATGCACCACACCTGGCCCCACCTTTTCTATTCCTAGGCTGTAGAGGACCACACAACACCCACCCCACCCCTGTGGTGAGTAGCTGTCTGCAGGGGTCCAGGAAAAGCCCCTGACTACCAGCCACTTTCCTAGCAGGTGTCCAAGCTGAGGAAGAATTTAGCCGAGGAGTACCTGCGCTACCTCACTGAGCGAGATGCCCGCAAAATTCTCATTGCAGACTTAAATGAGTTACGATACCAACGGGAGGATATGTCATTAGCCCAGTCCCCAGGTACCCCAAATTGAGCTTCTTTCCACTCCTGAAGTGCTAGATAAAAGCCTGAGTCTCACTACTTCCCCTGTTCATTTAGTATTCCTATTACCTGCTCATTCTGTGCCCATAAATGTTGGGAGATGTCCCTGCCACTAGTTGGGGCTGCGGATTTTTTGAGCTGGACCAAAAATTATAAAACCATTAAGTAGTAACACTGTTGGCATCAGAGACTGCCCTGTGGGCTGGGCAGGCCTGCTACCCCATGTCTGAGGGTTCTCTACTTTAGGCAAACCCCAAGGCTGGTAGTGCTGTGGATAAGACCTAGAGAATCCCAAGCAGAGAGGGCAGAAGGACCTCAGGAATGCCCCAAGGGATACATAAATTAGCCTTAGGCCCACAAGCCTGAGAGCTAGGGTGACATAGGCTGGCGGGGCCCCTGACAGGTGTCTGGGGGGAAGACCCTGTGAAGCTAACACTGGCTCTAAAGATGACTCGGCAAGACCTGACCCGCACACAGATGGAACTCAACACCATGAAGGCTAACTTTGGAGATGTGGTACCCAGGAGAGACTTTGAAATGCAGGAAAAGACCAATAAGGATCTTCAAGAGCAGGTGCTGGTTGGTGGGCAGAGCCAGGCATGGGTAGGGCAATGTCAGATAGGTGGGTATCTAGGACCAACCACCTTGTCCACAGCTGGACAGCCTGAGAGCTGATTATGAAGAGGTCCGCAAGGAGCATGATTTATTGCTGCAGTTGCATATGACCACACTGAAAGAACGGGACCAGTTCTCTTCTGAGCTGCAGGATATCCAGCGCACCTCCACACCACGACCTGACTGGACCAAGTGTGGAGGTAATGATGGCCATCTGAGCCTCAAGGCCCGTTGAAGGGCCTGAGCTAGAATCTAACTTCCTCTTTACCAGCAGATGTGGTGGCCGGGGGCCTGGATCGTTGGCAGATGCTGGCTGAAGGCAAGAACAGTGACCAGTTGGTGGATGTGTTGCTGGAAGAGATTGGCGAGGGCCTGCTCCGGGAGAAAGACTTTTTCCCTGGTCTGGTAGGGGAGTCTCTGAATGGGAGGACTGGGGCCAAAGTCAGAAGTCAGACATTGCTGCTGAGACTTGAGCTGGGGGCATCGTGTGGGGCTCTTCCTTGCTTGGAGATGGGGTCATAGAGGGTCCCAGACATGAACTGACATCTGCCTTACAGGGATATGGGGAGGCGATCCCTCCTTTTCTTCGGTTTGATGGCCGTGTGAAGAACAAAAAACCAAGCAAGAAAGATGTGGTAAAGCTTCTCAAGGATGTCTGGAAGGAGCGTCTTGCAGAGGAACAGGTCAGCTCTGACCAGTCCAGTTGGCTCAATGTGGCTTTCAGAACTAGAGTCCTTTAGGGCAGTGATAGTGAACCTTTTAGACCTTTCAATGATAAAACAGCCTGCTGCAGCATGTGTGCCATACGTTTGCCACCACTGCTCTTGAAGTGCTAGAAGGGTGACAGCCAAACAGTCATGGGGCAGAATGACCAAATATCCCCTTCTCCATACCCTGCAGAAAGAAAAGTTTCCAGATTTCTTCTTCAATTTCCTGGAGCATCGCTTTGGCCCAAGTGATGCCATAGCTTGGGCATATACCATTTTTGAAAATATCAGGCTTTTCCGCTCCAATGAGGTCATGAGCCAGTTCTATGCAATCTTGATGGGGAAGGTGAGCTTGGGACTGGCTCCAGCCTGTTCCCTTGGGGAGATGGAAGGGTTTTTTATTCCCCAGCAAAATCCAGCTCAAAATCATACCTCTAGAAAGCTGCAAGTTAGTAAATTATTTCATTCCTTTAGATGACAGAGAGTGTATACATCAACCAGAAGGAGACAGTAGCCCAGCTGCTGAAGGAGATGATAAATGCTGACAGTCAGAATGAGGGGCTATTAACCATGGAGCAGTTCAGGTGAGAGGCCAGTCCAGGTCACCCCAAACTCTAGCCCAATGTCTCCTCTGGCCAGCTTCTCAGCTATGCAGGGAAAGGGAAGCCTGGTAGGAAGGGCCACAGCTTAAAGCTCCAAGTTCTGAACACCAGTAGGATGGCAGAGGAGGATATGGGGAGATGGGTGAGCAGCCTCAGTGAGGCTCCTGTTGGCCCTCGTTTCCTCATAGCACCATCCTCAAGAGGACTTTTCCCCTCAAGAAGGAAGAACATATTCGGGAGCTGATGGAGGCAGGGGGCTGGCACCCCAACAGCACCAATGCAGACTTGTTTGATTACCGCTCATTGTTTACAGAGGTGGGTGTGGGGCCCAGGACCTTGCCTAGACCTATTCTTGCCTTTACTGGACCCCAGTCCATGGAGCCTCACCCTGCCTTGTGACCCTCCCAGGATGAGGAGGGTCAGAGTGAACCCTTTGTGCAAAAGCTGTGGGAACAGTACGTGATTGAGAAGGATGAGTACTTACAGGAACTAAAGCAGGAGCTGGGCATGGAACTGTGAGTGACCCCAGGGCCCAGACCCACTCAGCCATTGATGAGTCCCAATCTGGACAAGCCCTACAGGGTGGCATCTCTTTGTATGGGTCTCTCTGCATGCTGATAGACATTTTAAACTGCTCAAACCTGACAGGAGGATTTGGCAGAGTCTGAGGTAGACAAAAGGGCTCAGACCTCTCCCTCTCTCTTCTTATGGGGCAGCTATGAGGAGGTAACTCTTTCCAAGCTACGGAGGGCTCTGATGATCATTGATCCTACCCTGGACAAGCAGACTCTGAACACCCACCTGAGTCAGGCCTTCCAGATCCCTGTGTCAGAACTGCCAGAAAATGAGAATGAGGACATTGTAACAAGGCTCCAGACTGCAATGGAACAGCTTCAGATGGCTGACGTCAAGCGTACAGGGCCTCGAGAACCAGAGGCTGCAAGCTAAGACTATCACAGGCAGCCTGAATGCTTGAATGCTGCTAACCCAATTTTTAGTATAAAAATCGTATGTCTGAACCCATGCCATTTTTCAGGTTGTGCTGGAGTTGAGTTGGGGAGGGAAGGGGGCTGGCCTCAGGACATGTACCTAAAAGCAGACTACTGTGCTTGTGATACTTTATTGATGGTAGATGAGGATAAGACCTGAAGGATTAGCTGGGGCCAAGAGGTCCCAGGTGGGGAGAAGGCAAGCATCGAGGCTGGGCCACTATTGGGCAGGGAAGACAGAATTTCCACTGAACGCACAGGGGATGAGCAGCTGCCGGTACTCCAGGGGCAGGTGTCGTTCCACAAGCAGGTGTAATGAGACTTGGTCAGTGACCAGGCCCTGCCTGCAGCAGAGGAAGACAGGGATAGGCGGAATCAACACCAGCACTCCCACACCAGCCTCCCTTTTTTGCCCACTCACCGTCGCATCAACAACTCCAGGTCCTCAGGCTTCACAGTCTTGCGGCCAGCATGAGCAGCAAATACTTCCAGGTCATTGCAAAGGTGCTCCAAGTACTTATCCAGGCTGCCAAGAAGGTTGGGGTAGAAGAGACTGAATAGAATAGTGCATTCATAACCAGACCGTCTCCTCTCTTCACCCAGGTATCCAAGACTCACCACTTCTCCACCGTCTCAAGAGCTTTCCTCTCCATAGGCATCTTAGTGTAAAAGCTGAAGAGTTTTGTATAGTAGGTCAGTCCAGCCTTATGGGGATCTTGACGGGGTCTGGGACCAGCACTTTGGGGCTTGGAGGGAACTCTGGCCAACACAGGCTCTGGAGGCTCTGAAGACAAGCTGGGGGCAGGAGTGGACAGAGGTGGCTAAACTGATGCTTCAAAAGGGCCCTATTCAAGGACAAGTCCTGCTCATTCCTGTTAAGACTGGGTCCATGTGCTCCTTGGCCAGCCTGGACAGCAGTTCCAATATCTGCTGAGGGACAGTAGTGTCAAGGTCATACAGAGACCTGGTTCTTTTGCTGGGAACTGTTCCTCCAGTCTGGACACAATTTCCCACTCTAGCTTTTTCATATCACTGACACTTGCTCAGGAATATGACTTTTACACCTCTGAATGAATATTCACTCCCCTTAGGAGTCCATCACTTCCTGTCCCAATTCTGCTAGTCTTCCTCCAGGAAGCCTTCTCTGACTATACAATGACCTAGGTTTTTTTCCAAATTCCTCTTAGCTCCCAGTGGCAGGCACCAGAATGACAGATAAGCTCTTGGGGAGCAACCACCAGCCCAGTTCAGGCTACTGGGTTGGGTAATCATCAGCATGCTTATGGGGAGGAGGATGTGTGTGAGTACCCAGTGCCAACCTCAGTGTTTGCCCCTTTCTCAAAGACCTGTAAATAACAGGGTCATGGGATCTTACACTGCAACATCAGGCGATGGGGCTGGCTCAAGAAACTGATCCAGTTGTTTGGCCTGAAGAAACTCAGGGATGTTGGACACCGATTCTGGGCTTGCTACAGAGAAAAAGCAGGGTACAGGGGGCTTGGCATGACCATGCCACCCAGCTAAGCAAGTTTAGTCTCCTTGCCCTATTTCTTAAAGGGTTCTCTTAGCTTCACCCAAGCAACCGTCCCTCAGAGACTCCCTGGCCCCAAACATCACCAGTTCCCAGAAGCAACCCGGGCAAGCTCTCTGTGTGCCATGGCCTAAACATAGCAGTCACCACTCATCTGCTGTTCCCCATAGTTGGCCTTTTACCTGGCCTCTCAGAGATGTCCTCATCCCCTGAAGATCCTTCTGGCTTTTCAGGCTCCACAGCCCTCTGGGATCTCTCTGTTTCTGTTATCGCTGGAGGAGCATAAAGTCTAGGTTGTGTCTCCAAGAAGGGTAAAGATGGAGTAGCAAAGTCAGCCTCACTCACTGAGAAGAGACCAAGTCAGACATAGTACCAGGCAATAATTTGGAATTTCTTGGCCCAACACTGACCGTGCTCTTCGGTGGAGGAGGGACCCCCAGCCAGGGAAGTCTGGGATCCACATACAGGCTTGAGGAGAGAAGGCAATCAGGGGTAACTCTCCACAAGCTAAGCTCCAGGCCACCTGCCTCACATACTCACTGTGGTTCTGCAGCTCAGGCATGTTGTTCTTTGTCCTGTGATGCACAGCCCTCTCAGTGTCTTTAGGCCCAGGGTGAGGACATGGCAGGGACTGATACACACTGAGGGAGTGGCCAACCAAGGGCTGTGAAAAAGGCTGGGTATCCTCTAACACAGTGTCTGTCGGCAGAGTAGCAACAGGAGTTCTGAGGCTGTCACCTGGAGATCAAGGTCCAGCAGGCATTCAGTATATCCCAAAACTACTTGCTAATGCCCAGAATTCCCAGGGTCTAGGCAGTGGGCACAAAGAGATGACCTAGATTCCAAGCCTTATCTTTTTCCTTATCTTTTTTTATGTTGCCTTGCTTACCTTTGCTTAGTGGGGGGCATTTCCAGGTCTCCACAGCTTGCTCCCACCCCCATTATCCCATAGCTGCTTCCCCATACCTCTGCTTTCTATTTCTTCCTCTGCCAAAAACGCTCCCTCCTATCTTGGTGAACTTGTCTTCTGGAATTGGGTCCCTATGTCAGTTCTTTTTTTTTTTTTTTTGGTTTTTTGAGACAGGGTCTCACTATGTAGTTAAGACTGACCAGGAACTCACTACATAGCCCAGGCTGGTCTGAACTCATAGCAATCCTCCTGTCTTAGCCTCGAGTGCTGGGATTAAAGGCGTGCACCACCACACCCAGCCCTATGTCAGTTCTAATGAGCTAGCTGATCATGAAACCTACCCTTTTCAAATTTCCAACAGCTCTAGGCACCAAAACACACCACTTTCATTCCCTTAGCCCTGTAGTTTAAGAACATAAATTCATGTTCCTGGAAGACATAAATACATTAAGACTCAGGGCCGGGGATTTAGCTCAGTGGTTCCGCTGCCTGCCTTGCAAGTGTAAGGTTCAGAGTTTAATCCCCGGTACCAAAAAAAAGAAAGTGCTTAAAAAATAAAAATAAAAAAGGACCGAGCCTCACTAAAGCCAATGGCCCCTTGAAGGATGAAAGCTGAAACTCCTTTTAAGGTCAGGTTTACACACTGTTTTTGACCCTACCAGAAAAGGTATACCCCTAGACTCAGCAGCAGCTCCTATCTACTACAGAGGCTATCTTTCTCCAAAGGCTGAAAGGGGAAAACTGAACCTTACCTAGAGGAACTGAGGCCAGGGAATTATCTTGTAGATCCTGCAAAAGGGCACCCACATCTACAGTGCGGCGGGTGGGAGGTCTTCGGGCTAACCCAGGTCTCCTCACTGACTGTGGCTGAAGAGGTGTAGCAAAGGTCAGGTTGAGGGAACTGGTGGAAGGGAGGAAGCACAAAGAAAAGTCAAATACCTAAGGAATACCTAAAGTCCAGCTTCCCCAGAGGATTCTCCCATCTGCTCTGAAGCTCTTATCTCTTAGAATGTGACTATATTGTAAGACTACAACAGGCTGGGATTAATATGGCCAGATTCCATTTCCATCAGTCAGCACCTTGTTCCCCAAACCTCTGCTCCACCACCCCAAGAACAGACAACAGCACCTGGTGAGGGATGAGGCATCAGGATTCCCAGGAGGCTCTGTCAGCGACCAGTAAGAGGATGTAAAAAGAAGAAACCATAGTAAATTAACCAGACCCATGAAAGTCCTCTCTCAGGCCTCCTTAGCCTCTCCAGAGGACAGGACAGAGAAGTCAGCAACAGGTGGTATCCTAGGCCTCACCTTGGGAGAGAGGCAGCCCCAAGGGTCCCCGGTCCACTTCCTGCTGAAATACTGACAACCTCACTCTCTGTTTCCTCCTGCCAGAGGCCAACAGAACTGGAGCCAGGGCTTGTGGGGGCTCAAGTTCAGGAAGCTGAAGTTCTAGGCTGTAAGGAGAGAACTTATCTCAGGCAAAGAAGGAAATTCTTCCCTGCCAATCTTTGGGGTTCCCAGACTAGAGCTACCCAACAGCCCAGCCAAGGAGGGCAGTTCGCTGTGCACCTGCCCCTACTGCTTTCCCGTCTGGAGGGCTGTGCCACTTGGGATGCTGGTGCTGGCTTCGTCATTCTCTCTGGCATCACAATAGAAGATTCCTGGGCTGCAAAACCACCATGGAGAAGATAGGGCCAACATGACAGGCTACCCTTAATGGAGGATACCACAGAACTAGTGTTAGACTGGTGCCTGTCAGACCACTTACTTACCAGTTAGTAGGATGTTCTTCAGCAGAGTCCGGGGTGTCTGTTCCTCCAGATGCCCACTGGCTTGACCATGCACCAATCTGCCAGTAGACTATGGACAAAACCACCATGTAACCAGTCTGTTCTTTTTGCCTTGAGATTCCCTCATGGAAATTAACCTCAGGGCTCCATGAAGCTAGTCAGTGGGCTGGACACTTACTCTGGCTCCACGAGAACGCTGCCTGGCAGTTGCCTTTGTTTGGCTACTCCACGTCCTGGGAGAAGGTGTTTCAAGCAGGGCTCTCTGGGCACTGTGTAAAGACCAACAAACAGTTCTGACAATTATGTAGGGCATAGAGGATGCAGAGACTTGTCTTCACCGGGGGGTCTTAACCTAAAGTCCCTTGGGGACCACTTATGCCTCCTGTAGTCTCTGGTCCCAGACACATGTCAACAGAGGATGAAGGATTTGGAAAGAAAGGGAATATTACTGTTCCAGCCAGAAGGGAGAGGGAGATGAAGAAGATTTCATACAGGTGACTTTTGCAGAATCATGGAAGATTATCATCCATTCCAGACATTAAAGTAACAACCCAAAAAGGTCTTTAAGTATTTTTAATCCTCTAAATACTTGTTAGAGTCTGACAGCAATCACACAGGTCACCCTATCTCTGTCTCTCTAGTCCAGTCCCTCTCAGGGACATATCACACATCATCACTCTAAAACCTGTCATGAATGACCTTTTTCTTTTTGGTACTGGAGGCTGAACTGAGGGCCTCTGCACTGAGTTAAATTCCCCACCCTTTATAAATTTTGGGGTTTTTTTGTTTTGTTTTGTTTGTAGTTCTAGCTGGCCCTGAACTCATTCTGTAGCTCAGGCTCACCTCCAACATGTGGCAATCCTCCTGCCTCTGCCTCCCGAGTGCTGGGATTGATTACAGGTGTGAGCCACCATGCCTGGCTACACCCTTTTAAAATTTTGAGACAGGGTCACACTAAATTATCCAGGCTGGGCTTGAACTTCCACTTCTCCTGCTTCAGCCTCCTCCTAGAGTGCTGGGATTAATAGGGATGTGTCATCACCACACAGGGCTGACTTCCCATTTCTTTATAAAGTAAAAGACTGCATTGTCCCAATTGGGCTGATGTCAACTTCTCCGCCCTCTGCCTCAAGAGGTTAGCACAGCCCTCTCCCAGAGACACTCCCAAGTCAGGACAAATTCCTGTTCCCTTGCAAAGTATCTTTCCAATTCCTGCCTCCTGACTTCTATGCAGGCTGTGTTCCCTAGCTCTTTTCTCATCGTCCAGCTGGGAGCCACAGAGAAAGGAGAAAACAATGTGCAGGGAAAGGTAGGAATCACGTAGGAAGTAGGGGCAGATGTCTGGGTAAACTGTGAGCTTGTGTGGGCAAAACAGCTAGAGAATAGAGCTACTTATCCTTTCTCTCCAGGGACGCAGGCACAAAGAACAGATCCGAGCTCGAATAAAGAAGTGGAACCAGTTCTCAACGTTCTATTCTGCTCCTCCCAGACTCAGTTTCTCTCTCCAACAGGTTCAGCACTAGCTCCCATCCAGATCCTACTTCCCAGTTCTTTTAGTTGCACATACAGTGGCCCTCACATACCTAATCCGAGCACTCCGGCGTCGCCGTGGGGTACAAGAGTCGGCTGTGTCTAGCACTTGCCGCAACAGCGTACGCGTCGTGGGCTCGCTGTCCGAGCTGTAACTGTTCGCCATCTTCTCAGCCACCCTCCTAACTGCCCAGGCGGCCGTAGGCACCGCGTTCCCGCCGCCACATTTAAGATAACTCTCGCGACGGTACCGCACAGGCTCGCGGGAATTGTAGTTCTCGACCTACCGCCATACAAACGTGTGCGGTTGTGGTTGCAAAATCTGGCTCTCCACGAGTCCTTAAGCAAACGTAAGGCTGAGCAAATGTACCCACTTAGTGCACTTCTTGGTTTTCTCATATGTAAATTTCAGATGATACCCATTTGATAAGGAATTTTTCCCCCCTGGTACTGGATATTGAGCTTAGCGATTCATACTTAACTACATACCCAGCCCTTTTGTTTTTTTTTTCCTGAAACAGGGTCTCATTCTATTGCTAAATTGCCCGGGCTGGACTCAAATTCGTGATTCTCCTGTTTCACCTTCCCATTGTTGGGATCACAAGCTTTTGCCACCACACTCAGGTTATTTTTGTTTTGTTCTGATGGGTGGACTCCCTAAATTGCCCAGGATGCCTCAAAATCCTGGGTTTAAGTGAGCCTCCTGCCTCAACTTTATAAAAAGCTGGGGCTGCACATGCCTAATGCTTGATTATGCCCAGTTACTGCATTCATTCATTTATTTTGTAGTATTGAGGCCTGAACTCAAAATCTCACTGAACTACATGCCCAGCTTTTTTTTTTTTTTTCAATTTGAGACAAGGTCTTGGGAAGTTAGTAAATTGACCACACTGGCCTGGAACACACTGAACTATGCCCAGCTTTTTTTTTTTTTTTCAATTTGAGACAAGGTCTTGGGAAGTTAGTAAATTGACCACACTGGCCTGGAACTGAGATCACAGAATGCTGACTTGTTAACAAAATAAAACATTGGGTTGAAAGGAGGGAGAAGGGGAAGTGAGATAAAATGACCAGGGCCAGATTTGTGAGCTTCTACAGGATCTAGGAAAGAATTTGGACAGTGTTTTGTTTTATTTTATCTTTAAAGGAGAAAAGGTTTGCTGGGCTTGGCCCCACACCTGTAAATCCAGTACTGGAACGCTGAGGCAGGAGGACAGCTGAGAGCTCCTGGCCAGCCTGGACTACATAAGGAGGTTTTTTTTTGTTGTTGTTTTTTTGGTATGGAGGATCAAACTTGGGTCCTTGTGCTTGCAAGGCAGGTGGCGGAACCGCTGAGCTAAATCCCTGGCCCAACATAAGGAGTTAAAGGCCAAGTTGAACTACATAGCTAGACCCTGTTTCCAAAACAAAACAAAAACCAAGATCCCAATGATGAAAGTAACTGTATTGTATACTTAAAAAGTACCAATAAACCTAATAAGTTAAAAAAAAAAGAAATTAAAATGGAGACTGCATATACGAAAGCTTTCTAAAATATAGTATATACTAATAAATTTTTAAAAATAGCTATAAGGCCAACACATGTTCCCTAAATGAATTGTTTTATTAAAAAGTAGCAGCTATATTTTCCAAGCTAAACTTTTTAAAAAAGGAAAAAAAAAATAAAATCTAGGGGCCAGGGATTTAGCTCAGTGGTGTGGTGCCTGCCTTGAAAGTGCAAGGTCCTGAGTTCAATCCCTAGTACCAAACAAAACAAAACAAAACCCCAAATCTCCCCCCAAATTAATCGCATTTCTGTCTTCATATTTATATCATGTATAAATGAGTTGCAGAAGTGAATCCAGTGTCTTTGCACTTAGCTGCATCTCTAGGCTCTTTTTGTTTTGTCTTTTTATTTTTGTTTTTTCTGAGACAGGTCTCTCTAAGCCACTCAACTGCCTAGGCTGGGTTGAAATTTGATTCTCCTTCCTCAGCCTTCCAGAGTGCTGGGATGGCAGGAGTTGGTGCACGCCTGACTTGTTGTGTGCTTTAAAACATTTTCCGCTAAAGATGGCGAGGCAGAGAAGGTGCTGTCTTGTTATAATGCAAACATTTTCTCTTAAATCCCTTCTATAATTTCCAGTCACCTACAGGATAAAATTCCAAACCCTTCAACATGGCCCACTTTGATAACTTTCAGTGATTCTGCTATTCTGGCCACCTCCTTCCTGGCCCTGTAAGTCTTACAGGCTGGTTCCAGGAAAAGAAGGCAAGATCTGGCCCCCAGCTCCCAACCAAGATTTTAATCCTTTTATCTTCCTGGGCACCGGCTCTTCATTTACTCCTTTGCCCTTTTCATTCCTTTGTAGCATTCATTTCTGAACAGACATTCATTCACGTGCAACCCCATCTATTATCCAAAACACAGACCCTTAACCCTCCAGGTGGTCAGGCTCTAGGAGGGAGATGCCAGGTTGGTCAGGCTCGCCGCAATTCCCTGCACTGTGTCTGGCAGATAGTAGGTGCCTATTAATGACTTAATTTAGGTAGGTAGATGAGTCAAAGGTAGCAGCTGAGTCGGAGACTCCCAGTACAGAGAAAGTAGCCTCGGAAGTCCTTGGGGCACCCAGGCCTAGGTTTCTTCCTTCTCTCCCCGCAGGAATGCCGTCTTTTCAAAAGCGCTGGGGGTTGGAAGACTGACCACTTCTGGCACACAGCACAACCGCGCCGGAATCCTGATCCGTAGTAACCCTACTTTGTCCTTAGACGGCGCTCGGCGCCACAGCCTCTAAATTCGCGCGAAGCCTTATGGGTCTTGTAGTCTCTGGCACATATACCTAGCGCTTGCGCATTAGTGAGGCGCGCGCTCCCTCCCACAACCTCCATCGGGATTCCTGGTCCTTGTGAGGCACACTCCATGCGAGAAGATTCTAACCGAATACTCTTCGTTTGCCGAGAACTAGCCAGCTCGGGAAAAGAATCTACTCTGCCAGGGATCTCGCGGTGCCCTTCAAAGCAGATTGAATAAACACACCCCGCCCCGGAAGTGAGCTGCTTCTGACGCGGTGCATTGTGGGGGGCGTAGTCCTTCTTCCCCCAGGCGGTCCTTCGCAGCGTCCCCCCGGCCGACTCCGGATCGCAGGCAGACGGCCGGACTGGCGGCGCAGCGCGGTGTAGTGTGAAACGTATTTTGGCACGGGAAGTCCGGTTGGGCCGACTACGCCAGGGTGCAATTGTGGGAGATTGCTTAAGGCCTCGCAGGGCGCCGCCCGTCGAGGGGCTGCCGGCAGTGGACAGACCGGGCCGTCGAAGCGCGGAGGAGGCCGGTGTGCCACGCACGGCCGCGCGGCGCAGCCATGCCTGGCTTTACGTGCTGTGTACCGGGCTGCTACAACAACTCGCACCGGGACAAGGCACTGCATTTCTATACATTTCCGAAGGACGCTGAGTTGCGGCGCCTTTGGCTCAAGAACGTGTCCCGCGCTGGCGTCAGTGGGTGCTTCTCCACTTTCCAGCCCACCACGGGCCACCGTCTTTGCAGCGTTCACTTCCAGGGCGGCCGCAAGACCTACACGGTGCGTGTTCCCACCATCTTCCCGCTGCGCGGCGTCAATGAGCGCAAAGTAGCGCGCAGACCCGCGGG